GATATCTATAGCCTATGTGAGCATCACCTTCTGCCCTTCACTGGAAAGGTATTCAAATCTAAATTTCTCTTCTAGTCAAAAGCTTACTAACGCGTCCAAATGCATATCGGTTATATCCCCTCTCCACCTTCTGCCCTTCATTGGAAAGGTATTTAAGTCTAAATTTCTCTTCTACTCAAAGCTTACTAACGCGTCCAGATGCATATCGGTTATATCCCCTCTGAGATAGTCATTGGGCTTTCTAAGCTCTCACGCATAGCCGAGATGTTTTCACGGCGCCTGCAGATCCAGGAACGCCTCACTAGACAAGTCGCCCACGCCATCATGGAAATTCTCAACCCACAGGGCGTTGCTGTCGTCATGGAGTCGTGTCACATGTGCATGGTTATGCGCGGCGTTGAGAAGACGGGCACCACCACTATCACCAGCTGTGTCCTCGGCTGCTTCGAGAAGAACAACAAAACGCGCAACGAGTTCATGAGCCTCGTCGGCGTAAATAAGACATGATTATGGCCAGGGGGCTGGAACCACTACTTCCGCCCCCATTTGTACGAGGTAGTACAGCGCTGCAGCCAATTGGGGCCCATTTGTACGAGGTAGTACAGCGCTGCAGCCAATTAACACATCTTCTACCTCAGTGTACATAAGTGGATTTTAAGGCCAATTATGCAACGGGCTTAGCCAGGTGTGGCCCGACTCGAGGTTTGTGACCCCACAATTGTCAGTTGTACGTAAGTGGATTTTAAGGCCATTTGTGACTGCAGGTCTGTGACCCCATAATTGTGAGACACAAGGCCATTAAGCACCGATCCGGTCGCGTCGACAGGTAGGTCGGCGATTGCTGGCTGTGTCACTATTTGACTCAGACCGGCGAGGCAACAGCCAACTTTCAAGTTTTTGCATAGCATCAAGTTGTCAAATCAAATTGTACGTGGCTTCATGCCGCAAATGCCTTCTGACTACAGATGAAATAGAGTGTGGGTTACCGGGATGGTGTTATGACGTTTGTAGGCAGGGCTCGGAAGTTCAGGCCGTCAAGCTTGTTCTCTCCGCCATGTATGTTTTCTCGCCGCCAGATGTCATCAGGCTAGACAATCCCAGCATGGGTGCGGCCGTTTGATTCTGCCCCGTAGTTGAGGGTTGCATATGTGATTAGCGGCAAGACATAAGCCGTTCGATGCTGCCCCGTAGTTGAGGGTCGTATATGTGATTAGCGGCAAGACATAGCCTTTTTATCTAAGCCCTTCTCATTGGTTATACCCCTCACGGTGATGTTGGCGTGCCCCAATATGAATCTGAACACGTTCAGGTGCAGCAGCAAGACACGCCACGAGGGGAATTTTACACACTGTCGACCAATCAAGCTGCCATTAAAAAGTGCTGCATCAGCGTCCAAAGCCTGCGGAAGCTACCAAAGCGATCAAGAATCGCTTTAAACTTATACTTCCCTATGGGAATCGGCGCGGGCACGATTACGGGTGGCTTCCTAATAGGTCCAATGCATGGGCCGAGGCTAAATTTCGCTCTCGCGACAGGCCCGGAACACATAAGACAAACTAACAAAGTGGGGTACCACTGCGCCGAGCATGCAGGCTGCAGTACTAGCTACCACAATTTATGGCACTATTCAAAGCGCAGCCATGGGAGAGTATGGTACTACAGTTATACCACCTGCTTCAATGGTGCGGGAGCCTTTGAAGAGGGGTCCTTTGTCGCCGCAAGTGGAGCATTCCTCAGGAACGACGGATAATCTTCTGGGCAAGAAGTCGGATGGCAACCATGGGGCAGGCTGAATTAACAATGATCCGAGTTTGAGCCATTCGATTTACAGCGCCATTCACGTCTCTATAACCAATTGTTCCTGGCTATTCCAGATCTGGCAAATACGTCTCGGAGGTTTCTTAAACCCAGACTTAGTCTAGCGTGGGCCATCTAAGCCAATCACCAATCTTTTCTTTCTGCCTTCTACTCGTCGAAAACATTCAATCTCGCATTACGTCAAGTGGTCGAACCGGACGAGAGATAAATTCATGTCCTTTCAGCTAGTGGATCTGCAAGGCAACACAGTATTGTAACCTAACTTCTTCTTTTCTTTTCTCAGGGCGACACCCCGAAAGAGGCTGGTTGCAGTTTTGTGCTCTCGCCTGCATCTGAGACACAAGAGACGTGTCATGGTTCAATTTGTGACAGTGACTGCATGGTACTGTCTGCAGTGAAGTCTTCTACGATGGCCTAGTCAATAGTGTTCTCTCATGACTTCCGGTAGAAAAAGGCTTCGATGACAATTTGGTTGGTATTATACATCGCGCGAATTCGATGTGAAGGATACTGCGATTTGGGCCCTTATCTAGTTATACAGTATTAATACGACGATTTTCAACGAAAACTTTTTCCCATAACTTACCTTTCTAAGCATAGCTCGGATAACTTATATTCCTGTGCAGAACGTGGTCCTTGCTCCCAGCATTGGAAAAGGAGGTATCCGGCTACACAAACAATGCAACCTCCACTTCAATAAAGGATGCACTAATGATCTGGACACAAACGTCCTGCGGCCGTTCACATGCAGAAACAAGTCCTGCAACGCCAACGGCAGATCAACCGGGAAAATTGCCGTGACCATACGAAGGTTCAACGAAGACCCATGCAATACGCATCAGCGCTGCAGAAACTGTAACGGTCTCGGTCAACCCTCATATGCCTATCGCCTGAAAAAAATTGAAGGATGCCTTCATTCGATTGGAAAGGGATCAGCCCTCATGTGAGGATGCCTGTAGATTTGAATGACGTTGTATTGTTCGGAATAAGTCTTGATGTCAGAAAATGCCAAGAGAAAATGCCTGGCGATGATTTTGCGTTAGATTGTATGCTGTGCTACATTTTAAGAACATATGGGCTCACCCTGTATTCATAGCATTTCTGTTTCATGCAAATGTTGCGGAGTTTTGACTTCCAGTGGCCCCCCTCGCCCGCATTTGTACGTTAACAAGACACTTTTACTTACATAGTTAACTATAAAGCTGGTAATTATTTATTATACACTCCGTATTTTCACTCGCCGGGGTCACAAATCGCCAACCAGTGACTTTAGCCACCGACTCATTGCCATTGCCGCTTTACGGAGAACCCACAATGGCCACATCTGCACCCCTGGTTCGCGTTGGAGTAGCAGTTTTTGTGCTGGCCTCGAAGAATGAAGACCGGGAAAATCCGCGATTTCTCGTTGGCCGACGTAAGGGCTCTCATGGTGCTGGCACAATGGCCCTTCCGGGTGGCCATCTAGAGTTTGGAGAGGAGACCGAGGAATGTGCTGCCCGGGAGCTGCTTGAGGAGACAGGTCTCAAAGTTACCGATATCCGGTTCTTAACCGCCACCAATGACTTCATGCCCGATGACACTAAGCACTACATCACTCTATTCCACGTCTGTGTCCGGGAGAACGATGATGACGAACCTCAGTTATTGGAGCCTGATAAATGCGAGTCCTGGGAGTGGATTACTTGGAATGATTTGCTGGGGTGGATTCAGGCTTCGCAAAACAAGAGCGCCGAAAACGACGACCTGAAGCACAAGATCTTTATTCCACTCCTAAATATTGCGAAGCAAAGACCAGGTGTTCGCCCAACTGATGTCTAACCGAACCAATAGATGGTGACACCACTCTACGAGTTATGCATTACTGATGTAGTTTGAGGCAAATGTATTTAGCCTGCCAAGGCACACACGCACTACTACAGGCATACTAGCCATAACCTAATGAATTCATGGCTCGTTGCATTGTGCTGTTTTGCTCTCTTGCTGTCTGTGTCGGCCTTGGCGTTTTTGAACTTGCGGGAGCGATTACGCCGTGCTATATATTATTTGGTCCCTACAATTCGCTCACACTAATCATTTTACAGCACCAATATGGCGCGAAGAAAAGGCTCCAAAGCGAGCCCTCAGTTCAAGATATAGCATGACTACGTGTCCAGTCTCCGATGGTTACTGGATCTCCATAACTAATATAAGAACAAAAACGATCCAATAACTAACTCGGATCCATCTCTAACCCAAATTCTTCATTCGTGGGCCATATCAAGTTCGTGACTGAACAGCCGCACGAGTTTGCGACAGTTGGAACAGTTCTTCCAATCTCCGTTGGTAGCCAAATGGTCTGACCGATTTGCACAGTCCAGCTGAAGGCCATGGGTATCATCACCTGAGCCAGGGGTTAGAGGCTCGTGACTTGGTGACTCAGGGCTCACAAAGTGCGTTGGCACTAACGTGGGCCCGGATATTTGGAACAAGTTATCATTTGGATGGCCAGTAGGTTCGAAAATTGCTGGGGGTGAGGCCGTCTCAGACTTCTTTTTCTTCTGCTTTTTGTCTATTCTCGGCATCGGGTTTATTGACGAAGTTGGCACCGGGCTGTCGTTCTTGGCTGCGTTGTGGGGCAAAAGCGGATTGAGAAACGGATTCTCAAGAACATCTACTGGAAAGTTAGTGACGTGTCGAGCTGTAATCTGCACCATCCGGGGGCCGGGAAATGAATCTACAGGCATCCAAAGGAACTGATGCGAGGGTGCGGGGAATGAACATACCTTGCACTCGCGGAGGTTGCTCTTGCTCTCTGCCATCGAACGGTTCGGGCTCTGGTTCTTGCTTTTCTATGAGCATACTCTCCCCAATCTTTGTTGCCGGTGATGTCCCTTCTCCATTCACACCTTGTGGAGCTTGCTTTTCCACAGACAGTTCTTGAAGATGTATTTCGACAACACTCTTGAGAACAAGTTCTCCAATAGTTTGAGGAGTTCCAGATACAGACAGGACTTCTTCTCCAGCTTCTATTGTGGGAATATTATAGAAATCTTGCATTCGTGATCGAATATATGCGGCTACCTCTGGAATGCGAACAGGTGTTGGTCTTGCTTCTTCCATAATACGGATCAGGGAGAACATCGTCAATTTGTCGCCTAATTTTTGCATTTCATTCATTGCCAAATCGCGCAGACCTGACAGTCCATATGATTCAGCAACACCAGATACATGAAGTGCCGTTGTAAATTCGGAGGCATGTCTCTCGTCCATGGATTCTCCCTTGGGCTTCAGACAGCTGTACTCTCCGGTTATCAAGAAGTTGACAAGAACATGGCCGGTATCTAGAGTAACATCGTCGAAATGAATAGTTCGAAGAGACTGCCCAAAAACCGATGGCCGACATTTTGACGCAAGCTTTGTGTTGTTATCTAGAAAGCTCTGGTGAATGTGTAGGGGCCCTTTGTTTTGAAAGTAAAGGGAACATGTATCGCTGGCAAACGGTCTGCAGTCGCTATTAATATCATGGCGTAAAGGAGGAATTAATAGACTGACGAGCGCTCCGGTCTTTTGTCCACTTCTAGGTTGGCCAAGCCCGGCTCAGGGATCCGAACAAGCCGTGAACTCTTTTTTTTAGCCATTGGTTTAGGGTCCGTAAAGGCGTCAGCAACTGCCCAAATGCATTTGAAACTGCTACTTCATAGTAGAAACCAGAGCCATTTCGCTCGCAAACAGAAGCGGCAGGATGTGGTACTAAATATGGTAAGCCTCTTGCCCGGGTTTGGCATCAACACGCACCGCTCCAGATGTGCAACACGAGATGGAATGAGCTGCATATGATACATCAATTTGAAGCG